CTTTTCCTCGTCTCCCTCAAGCACAAGAGCTATAGCTACCACGGGGTAGCTATATAGATCTGGGATTCCCTGCTGCAAAAGCTCCAGGCGCAGAGCTGGGAAGGGAAGCGGTTTGTGCACACACATTTGCCAAAGATTAGAGTTGTTGGAAGGAAGCTGGACTTTATCCCCCGACTGCTGCTTCCTTGATTAGCTGCTTGCAGTCCCCCGAGGTCAAATTCTTCTCAGATTTGAACCCAGGTAAATGGGAGCAAGAAAACTTTCTATTAAGCCACTTTCAGATTTCCCCAGGAGACAGCACAGACAGCTCAGCCCACCTGGGGTGTAACCCCCACCCCGACCCAGGCTTTCAGCCCTGCACCTTGTCATCATTGACTGCCTCCAGGGATCTTTTCCATGAATTATCCCCTTGACCTTGGGCTGGGGCTGCCAAGTGATTTTCATTTGATTGGCTAGGACACTTTCCAGAAGGTTGATTGTTACTGTATTGCTGTGAATAATCCTAGGATTTCTTCAGTGTTCTCACTTTACTGCTCCTTCACATGAAGGAGGGCTAGAGGCTACAAGAGTTTTAAACATTAAATCAGGGGAGGAGATTAGCAATTTAGTTCTATTAAATCTTGGAAATCTTTACACATTCCATGCACTACCCCTCGGCTCAGCCCAATGGACATTTCCTATACACTCTGATATGACTGAAGAATTAACTCTTCTTGCAGCTCTGCACCATTAAACCCAAAGGTCACCCTTAAAAGAGAGCTCACTTGTGGCCAAGACTGCTGAGAAGCATTTCCCAAGTCCTTCAGCATAAAAACTACAAACATGCCAATAAAAATGCCTTGGCTTGGCAAAATCTCCTTTCCATTTACTGCCCATTATTCACAGCACATGACAGTTCTGTGTTTTGTTCTTCGCCACTCACCAATGCAAAACAATTCCACTACGTGCTGGATCCTTCACAGGAGCCACTGAGTAGTGGGAGGTTTCTTGACTGAATTTGTGTCACGCCACATTCTGGACTGGGGATTTGGCCAAGAATGGCTACTAATTAATTGACTGTAATTCTCCTCTATGCTCATAGCAAGGGAGACATGATCAGGGCAAGAGAGTTGGAAAAAGCTTAGATGCCACCGCAGTCTCCAACTCTTGGATATCACTGACAAAACAGAGCTGGATAAAATAAAGGGAAATGTGTTGGAATTTTAGAACCGCTCACTCCAATAGGAGAAAAGGAAATAATGGAAACAGTAACAGAAAATCCACTAGCATTTGAGGAACCCTTTAATCCTTAGTCAAAATTAGAAAGACCATTGAAGCCCTTTCAAAATATCCATGAAGATGCTCGACTATTTAACCATAGAAGTGTTTTTTTCTTTTTTTCCTAACAGCAGCATCATATATTTAGACAGGGAAAAGGAACTGCTGTATACAACATTTTTTGATACTAAAGTGTTTATAAACTCTACCAAAAGCCTGCACTAGATCTCTCTTACAGTACCTTGTTAGTTATTTCCCTCTCAAGCCCAGGCTTTCCTAGATACTTTGAAGTGTTTGTTCTCAAAGGGAACACAGCGTAGTGCACCAAGAGCAAACAAAAGTTCAAGTTTGGTATCTAGCTTCCAGAGAAACAACAGTTCATGCAAAAATACACTGGTCTTTGCAGTAGTCTCCTCTCTAGTGGGTGCTCTGCTGGGAGTTATTTCTCAATTGCTAAAACCTCATTCTGTTTTTGTTGGGCATGGGTAATGACGTTTCCTTGATGCAAGCAGATTTCAAATCCTCAAAACCTTCTCGTGGCCCTCTCTTTCCTTACCCATTTGCTCATATCCTGCTACAACCCAAACAAGATCAAGGATCTGCCTATACAGGAAGGCTCCAGTATTTAAGCTAGCATAATTTTACAGCAGTTTCTGCTGGTATCAGTCTCTTTCTGTACTGTTTCTTGGATTAAACACCTTCCAAAGACACTACAAACTAAATTAACTAAATTTATGCATAGGCATAAAACTGTCCAAGAAGAAAACTATATAACTATAGCATAAAATAATATAACTATAGCAGTTTAAAAACATTCTCCCTTATCATTGGGCATGATACCTAGCAAGAATTTTCCTGTGCGGGCAAATCTGGAATAGCTGCTATTCCCTCAGTCCACTATTTAACACTTACCAACTTCTCACTCTGATATAAGCACAGTTTTGCTTCTTTCAGTGATAAATTAGCAGTCTGATTCCTTCCCGAGTCTGTCTCATTTTCTTTTCTTTTCCAGATTATTCTGTATTAACTCTTCTAACAAAGTGTACGATCTTCTAAAATGTTCTTTGCTTTCGGGTAAACTCATTTTTCCTCAAGACTGGAAAGACTGCTACTTGCTAAAAGCAAAAGATTTTGATGAGTAGCAAAAGGCTACTCATCAAAAGACCATGTCTTTTATTCAAAAGCGCAATATCTTCATCTGTTTGGGCAAAGAATTAAGGCAGTAAAATTGCCGATTGCCACACTAGGAACAAGTACTGGTCAAAGACAGTGATGAGACTGTGAGCAAAGAACTGGGCCCTAGGGCTTTGCTAATCTCAAAGTTCCAACAGGCATACTGGAAAGCAAAGGCATTTTAAAATATTGGAATAATCACAGCCATTATTTAACAAATCTAAATAACCAAAAACTTAATGAAGCCCTCTCTGGCTCTGGAAGCCAATGAGACTGAAAAGAAAAAGGCAGAAGGATTAAACTGTTTTCACCTTTCTGAATGCTATTCAAAGTCAGAGTGGATGAAAGCCACCATATCCTTTATATCCATATATCTGTGGAGAATCTCCACGAATTTCCTGCCCTGAAGCCTGGAGAATCAGGGCTGAAGCTCAGGAAAACGAAGAAATAACATTGCTTCCTCCACAAGTCATCTTCAGTGGAAACCTAAAATGAAAGGTAGTTAAGAGCAATCATACCCAGAGCTGGCATTATACTCAGGTTATAAGGAACAAGACTAAGATTAAGGAATTCCAGGAGATTTGCTTAAAACCTATAAATCCTACTTAGGAGGGTAGAACAGCTAGTTAGCTTTTAATTCTTTCCCCACCACGCAATCACATACAGGTCTCCACAGCAATGTCCTGAACTAGTGGGCTCAGCTCCAGGAGGAACAGAATCAAGTTTTCTTCTGCGCTCCAGCTACAGCTTCTGCAACAGGACAAGCCCATGGCTCAGGGAGCAGTATCATTCACTGTACAAGTTGCTAACATTAACTGTTAACAGAATGACTCCAACATGAAAGTGTCAGGGAATGTGCTTATATACCAAACAAAAGCCTAACAGCGAGATACTGGGAATTTGCAGTAGCACAAATTCCCAATGGCAAATCAATAATGGGAAGCTTTCAGGTTTCAGTATGAGATGCTGAGCCAAATAAACTGCCAAGTATTTTATAAAAAGCAGCATTATAAAATTTGGGTGCATATAAAGAGCATTATCTCTCCTCCTTTCTAAATAAATGCATTCCTTCAAGGTCTGGAAAATCTTTGGAGAGTATTTTAAGGGTACAGTAAACATTTAAAAGCTCTAGGGAAAAAAATGCAACTCAAGCTCACTATGAAGCAGTAAAATTCAAAATTAGCTGTCCAGAATAGAGAGAACTGAGCAAAATTTCTAAAGTAAAAGTACAACAAAATATATGAAGTTCTATTTTACAACCTCTTATATGAAATAGTTCTTCAAAGACACTGGAATCTGGTCCATCTAGCACAATATGTATAAAGCTATGCTTGATACTATAGTAAAGAAAAACATCCCTAACAAAAATGAATTTAAAATTCATCAGTTGCTCATTCCCACCTTAGCTTGTCTTCTTCAGAACACAAAGAATTAACAAGCACTTCTTCTCACAGAGCATCTTTTGGGCTGCCAGTGCAAAAGACAACAGAACAAAAATGTTTTCCCCAAGTTCCGGTGTAGTCATTGTGCTCTTCTTGACATCAAATCCTCTGAAAGGCCCATTTACAGCATAACAGCAACGAGAGAATAAGTTAACTGGTGGAATAAGCCACTAATGAGCACTTGCAAAGAGTAGTTAAAAGAAAATTGCCCCAATAACTGGGACACATATAATCAGTTTATTTACTTATTATTAGGTACAGGTCCTGAAACAACAGATTTGCCTGCCTGGCAGTACCTTTTCAATACTGGAAAAACAAATCAAAACTAAAAGTTAATCGCATGATTCCCAAATCAGTCCACACTTAAACCGTGCTTCCTCTTTATTTTTTTAATAGTAATTATTATTTTAAAACCAAAACAATACAACTTTTTTGGAGTAGACTAAAAGTTACTCACGCTAAACAGCAGTCTTGCATTACTTTATTACAGTACAGATAACATCAATCTGACATGGCACCATACCTTTCCCACCTATAAATCAGGGCACCTGAATCATAAAAACACCTACATGAATGTTGGATTTGAGTCTTCTCAGTGTACTGCAGGCTAGCAAGGTATTTTGCTGGAGATTTCTTCCTCATTTGCCAGCCCTCTTGTAAACGAGCAGGAATTAAAAAAATTTCAAGAGGAATCAAATTATATGCACAGATATGCAGGAGTATAAGTCATAAGATTATTATTCATTTTAAGTTGGCCTAACGTCAAGGCATGAACACTTTCTGATAGCAACTCATGAACTAGGTTGGAAGCTTATACATGAAGCAAAGTCACTCCCTAATTGTTAGGAAAAAAAAAAAACTTTTATAGACACTCCTAGAAGATTTTATTACACACTGAGGACCTGACCCCATGTTGTGGTTGGCTGAATAACACATTGCATAAATCTTAAGACTGCAAGAACAAAGAAGCTCACAAACACTCTCAAGTTGCTGGAAAAAGTTGAATCTTTCTGACTCTGGAAACAAAGACATGTCAGTCAAGAGACAGAGGGAAAGACACCACCTGGCATCAAACACTCACTGAACTGTTTTCCAATCGTCCTCCAAAAACAATCCCAGCAGTAGCTGCTTCTCCACAGTCTCTCAGTAAGGTACATTACACATAACGCGTGATATTAGGAAATCTCCTCAGAAGCTTGTTCGCTTTGCTTGAAGTTAAGTTTTCCCTGAGTCCCCAGGTGTCTTCCTCCGCTTTCTCCGCTTGCTCCCTGCGTTCCTTCTGAAAAAGAAACCTCAAAATATTACCTGTATTTATTTGCTAGGTTGACTCTTATGCTCAAGGACTACTAATAATTGCTCTTGGAGGTTTATCTGAAATGAATGCCACTTCTTTAAGGAACATTTATAATAGCACTTGCCTAAATAAGCCCAAGGTTTTAGAAAAGTAATGACTGTAGGTCTCCTTTAAATGGTGAAATTAATGACTGATCATCATCTTGATCATGATATCTCTACATATCCTTAGTTAAAATTATGATAAACTTATATTAACACCACAAAACACAATTTTCCCTCTACTTTCTATTTTTTGCCTATTTTGTAAACCACTATATCAACTGTGGACTTTTCTTCCGTGTATGCTGTCACGCACTAGCAGGCAAAAACAATTTATGAAATGTTGATGCTATTACTGAAAAGACTGGAAATAGGAACAGGTTAAAGGCATGTCTAGTACATATACTTACTTTTACACTACTTTTGAAACAGACCTTATTTCAAATATATTGTATTAAGAAAGAACAAAATGTTTTTCATATTTATGCTCTGCCTTATTTCTGGAAACTATAGCCAAATTTATTTCCATTTTCAATTGCATAAAGTTTTTATTGTCTCTCCGGATTTCAATGGAATGCCTTCTAAAGCACAGAATCAGACAGGGTAACTCCCGAGCTAGTAGTATAATAATAGTTGCCGTTAGCTGGCAACTTCTGATTTTCAATCAATTTTTTTTTCTTGTAACAAAATCTCTAGCTCTCAAATTCAGAAACAGACTAAAAGGATTCAGAATTTTCAGAGAATCAGCTCTAACTACTTCACACATCCTGAAAATTCTGCTTATGATGAAGATTACTGAAAACACTGGTTATTTCTCTGCCAGCCACCATCTCTATCCTTGCTTCTGTGTTTACAGATTTACAGATTTGTCACAGAACTGAATGTAGGAATCTGTAACTACCACTTTCCACTACTATCTAAGCAATGCAAACATTGGGTCAATAACCAAGTTGACTATTTCTTGATTTTATGAATTAGAGCAATTACTGAAATTTACCTACACTGTACTCCTGCAACCTCAAAGCACAGGCTACAGAATTATAAAATAGCCCAAATTAGAATCTAACCCACTTCTCATGCCGTACAAACTACTGCCTTACTTGCTACCTCTACAGCTTCAAAATGCAGGCTCCCTCATTCAGACCTACTGCTTAACGTGCAGAGAGGCAACATTTTCTGCTGCTTCTACAGAAATGAAAAACTGGAAAGAGTTATCACTGTAGGCACACAGAGAAGTGATTGCGGGCTTCCTCCTTCCCCACCACCAGCCTTTGAGAATGCCAGAGAGCCCTCAATTACTTCTGCCTTTGCCACGCAGTCGTGGAACATGCGGATCTCCTCGGCACAAGCAGAGCTGTTGAAGTCGTTCTGTTTCCAGCAGGCCATCATCACCGACATCTCCGTAATGCACGTTGCCTCTGGGGGAAAAAGACAGTGCAGGTCTGAGCGCTCAGGTCGTCACGTTAACAGCCTTATATAGCGCATGTATCTCCAGCGGGAAAGTTAAGATGGGGCAGAGGCAGGGGAGAAAAAAGCCACAACACGCAGCTGCCGCGGAGCGCAGCGCACTCACCGCCCGGCTGCTCCCTGCGGTTCGCCACCTTGTTGGCGAGCACCAGCGGCCGCGTGGGGCGGAGGAGCGGAGGCCGCTTCTTCTGGCGCCACTGCCC